TGCTCGGGGCCCGGGGCCGGCCTCTACACTGGCCGCGGGGAGTGCAGGGCGCGGAGCGGGGTTGGGGCAGCGGGGCGGGGCGCACCGCGGCCATCGCCAGGACGAAGGGAGCCCGTCGCCAGCTCCGTCCTCCTCCTCCGGCCGTGCGCCCCAGCGCGGGTGCCCTTGGATGCCCGCGGACTGGAACACCCTTGGATCCGCGCGGAGTGGAACGCCAGCCCGGGCCGGCTCCGGTCAGAGTGACCGGAGCTGGGGGACGGGACTGCGGCGTCTCACCGCGAGCCGCTCTGCACCGGGCCCAGATTCTCCCCACCGGGAACCCGTTTGTAGGTGCGCTTTGTTCCACAGGACCCCCTGGCCCAGCGACTGGCCTTGTCAGGGTAGGAACAGTGACTCCGGGATTCTCAGGTGTTAGTGACTATCACAGCGCCGTTAATGCGCCTGACCCTGCGGGGGGTGGGCGGAACAGGGAGAGGTTCGTGGAGAGGGGGTGTTAGGAAGCGAAAGGGCTGTGCAGGAAGGGAAAGGGGGCCCCCAAATAACCCTTACCTCCTTTGGATTTTGCTCGTGTGTGTGCAGCTTCAGGGGCCGAAGGGGATGGTGGTGGGCAGCTCTGTGGCTTTTTAGGGGTCCGGTCCTTCTCGTTTTCTTCTGCGAAGGACCCAGTAGCCCGAGGAGGGGATGCATAAAACTTCCGTAGGACACCTGGGACTGTCCTAAACCACGGGGAAGCAGGGAGCCAAGGACGTAGGGACATTCCAAAGTGGGGCGGGGCGGGAGGCATGGCTAAAGAACACGAGACCACGCTGTGCCTGGTGTGCAGATATGTATTTAGAAGTCAGTCCACTCAGAAGCGTATGGACTCTCGAAAATTCCCTCTACAAAGCACCTGTCAGTGTAGCCTCAACGTTTGATTATTTTAATCATGATTACATTTTGACTTTGAGAAACCACCCTGCCTGGCCGATGGCTCTCACTGTAATATGTGAGAAGCCTGGCGGGTGGCTTGTGGTAAGCAGAAGGACCTCCTTCCATAGAGACGAGGCCAGTCTGAGCGTCCCCCTGCCCCTGTCTCTATCCCTTCACCCACACGGTCACTGTGGAGATGACCATCTGGCCCGACTTTGGAGCCCCCAGGCAGAAGAAAGGCTGCAGTGGGCCCGGGAAGGCAGTCTGAGAGTAGGTGTGCAGGTGGGACCCGTCGTTCACACTGTAGAAGGAGACTTCTCCGGCCTCGAAGTCCAGGAAGATGCCCATGTGGCTGGGAGGCTCAGTCAGCGTGACGGGGATGGGGGCGGACATTGTGGACAAGCATTTCTTATCCTTGGACAGCTGCACCACCCAGAACCCGTTTTCAGGGGACTTGGGGACCCTGTCCTTCCTGCTCACATTGTCTCTGCACACACCCAGGGCCCAGAGTGTGTCCCCGATGAGGTTCATGCCCACCTCCCAGTAGTGTCTCCCTGAGGAGAAGGTCTTCTGGCCCACAGCACAGGGGTAGGCCACAAACCTGTCCTTGCTGCGCAGCATGCCAACCTCGGGTGGGGTGCTGAGGTAGCACCTCTGGCGGCTCTCGTACAGGAGGAGGTACGGGTATGCAGAGGTGGGGTCGGGCACCACATCCTCTGTCATGAGAGAAGTGAGCCGTGCAGGGTTGGGGGTGGAGGACAGAGGGCAGCCCATGGCCACATGGTCCCCCTTCTCCCTAACTCGCCAGAGACCTCCCCTTCACTCAGTCCAGCTGGGAATCGAGGGGTCAATTAATGGTCCCCAACTGTGGATATTGGTGGTGATGAGGAAATGGGGGCGGGGGTGGGACCATCTGGGCCACTCCACTAGCTTCATCAATGAATGGCACCTCCAGGAAAGCCATCCTGTGAAGGCACAGAGTGAATATCCCATGGGCCGTGTCTGAGACAGGTGGCTGCTGGGGTTGGGTGGGGCAGGGCCTTGCCAATAGAATGTGGGGTCAGACATCCTGGTTCTGGGCCCCACTTACCTTGGAAAGCTTTGAGCACCTCTATCTGCCCGGGGACCCTGCACACAGTCCTGACCTCGATGGGGGGCGTGGCCTCTGGATACAGCACAGTCAGGCTTTTCTTCCTTTAGTGGACACAGTCTCTGTCCCCTGCAGCCCGACACCAAGCCCTCCCTCGCCCACCTTCACCACCTCCACCGCAGGTGACCACGTACCTGCCCAGGAGGTCCTTCATATCCTGCAAGAGACAGGAAGGGAGGGCGAGGAATGGGCCGAGCTCTGGGGGTTCTCAGGGCTCCCTCCATCTCATCCACTTCTTAGGACAAGACTGGTCCCCTGTGCCTGGCATTCCCTTCCCAGAAATTGAGCTCCACCCTCTCCCAGGCATTCCAGAGCCTTCCCTGCCGCCCCAGCCTCCCACATCCACCGAGTACCCAGGTGCTTGGCCTAAGTGTAAACCATCCTCTCAGCCCACAGTAGGCTGCCCAGCACTCCTGCCCCTTCTAGGCAGGTGAGCAGTATATCCCAAGCGTCCTCTCCCATCTCAAGTGGGTGCAGAGAAATGGGGGAAAGGGGTGCAACTGGATGCAGTTCGGGGAGGGAGTAATAGACCAAGCCCCCTGGAGATTTTCTGGAGCTTCTGCATGCATCTGCAGGTATCCCAAGCACCATCGTTAATATCTCTGGCCTGGAAAGCTACGATGGATTTATATTTTCCAATGGCTATGTTTCTAGTTTCCAGAGCATAATTCTCACTCTTAGCGTGGGAATCTCATGTGGGTGACCTGCCAAGGCTTTCTGCTCAGGAGAGTAGCCACCCAGCAGCCACAGAGGCACAGGACTCCAAATGGGGCTTTTCTCTCCAGGGGGTCAGGAAACCAGCTTAGTGGTTGTGAATGGGCTGCTTTTTAATAGAAGACAATCTATTACAGTTCGGGTGACTGGAGACTCTATCAAGGACAAGCCTCACAGGCTGTCAGGACAACGGGCATAAGACTAGGACTGTCCCAGTCACTCTGCACTTGGTATTTGCTTTGGTTGTATAAATATGCATGTGTGTGCATCTAATGGCTTGCAGTATATGATGTGTTTTTTTTTGCTATAGGTTTTAGTCACTCCAAATACTTGGATGAGCTGGTTATCAATGCACTGGGAGAAATGGCCCCCCCTGCCACCACATTCCAGGGCCACAGCATGCAGGCTTGTCCCTGGCAGGCTGGCCAT